TTCCATGCAAACTATCACTCAGTTCACAATAAAACTTTAAAAAAAAATAGATTGGACAGTGTTGTTGTTGTTAGGTATCATCGAGTCGGTACCGACCCATAGCAACCTTATGCACAGCAGAAAAAAACACTGCCCGATCCTGGGCCAACCTCACTACTGTTGCCACGCTTGAGTCCATCGATGCTGCCACTTGGCCAATCCATTTCTCTGACCCTCCACCTTTTCAAACATGGTATCCTTCTCCAGCGACTGCTCCCTCCATGATATCTGAAGTATGAGAGATGAAGTTTGGCCATGTTGGCTTCCAGGGAGCACTCTGGCTACACTTCTTTCAAAACTGATCTATTGGTTCTTTTGGCAGCCCATGGCACTTTCAATATTCTCCTCTAACACCATAACTCAAAAGCATCAATTCTTCTACGGTCTTCCTTATTCACTGTCCAGCTTTCGCATGCGTATGAGGTTATTGAAAATCCCATAGACTAAGGTCAGGCGCACCTTAGTCCTCAAGCTGACGTCTTTGCTCTTCAACACTTTAAAAAGGTCTTGCGCAGTAGATTTGCTTAATGCAATACGTCATTTGATTTCTTGAATGCTGCTTCCGTGAGTGTTATAGTTGATCCAAGAAGAATGAAGTCCTTGACAACTTCTATCTTTTCTCCATTGATAAGAATGTTGTTTATTGGTCCAGTAGTGAGGATTTTTTGTTTTCTTGACATTGAGATGTAATCCATACCTAAAGCTGTGCTCTTTGATCTTCATCAGTAAATGTTTCCAGTCCTCTTCACTTTCAGCAAGCAAGGCTGTATCATCTGCATATCGCAGGTTGTTAATGAGTCTTCCTCCAATCCTGATGCCACAATTTTCTTCATATAACCCAGATTCTCGAATTATTTGCTCAGCATACAGGTTGAATAAGTATGGTGAAAGAATACAACCTTGTCGCACACCTGTCTTAATTTTAAAACATTTAGTGTTCCCATGTTCTGTTCAAACAACTGCCTCTTGGTCCAGGTACAGATTCCTCATGAGCACAATTAAGTGTTCTGGAAACTCATACTTCGCAAAGTTGTCCATAGCTTGTCATGATCCACACAATCGAAAGCCTTTGCATAGTCAGTAAAGCACAGAAAACATCTTTCTGATATTCTCTGCTTTCAGCCAAGATCCATCAGACATCAACAAGATATATCTCGTTCCACGTCCTCTTATGAATCTGGCTTGAACCTCTGGACGTTCTATGTCAATGTGTAATTGTAGCCGTTTAGCAAAACTTTACTCGCATGGAATATCAAAGAGATTGTCCAATGATATCCACATTCCATTGGTTCACCTCTGTTTGGAATGGGCACAAATATGGATCTCTTCCAATCAGTTGGCCAGATAGTTATCTTCCAAATTTCTTGGCATAGATAGTGTGAGTGCCTCCTGTGCCGCCTCACTTTCTTGAAAGATTTCAATTTTTATTCCATCAATTCCTGCCTGGTGCCTTGTTCTTTGCCAGTTACTTCAATGCACCTTGGACTTCCTCCAGTATCATTGGCTCTTGATCATATGCTATCTCTTGAAACAGTTGGACATTAACCATTTCCTATTAGTACAGTGACTCTGTGTATTCCTTCCATCTTTTTTTGATGCTGTCTGCATCATTCAATAATTTGCCCAAGACTCTTTGAATAATGAAAGTCGAGGCTTGAATTTTTTCTTCAGTTCCCCCAGCTTGAGAAATGCTGAGTGGGTTCTTCCTTCTTGGTTTTCTGATTCCAGATCTTTGCACATTTTGTTGTAATATTTGGCTTTATCTTCTCGAGCTGATCTTTGAAATTTTCTGTTTAGCTCTTGGACCTCCTCATTTCTCCCATTTGCTTTAGCATCTCTATGCTGGAGAGCAAGTTTCAGTGTCTCTTCTGATATCCATTTTGACCTTTTCCTTATTTCTTGTCTTCTTAATGATTTTATGCTTTCTTCATGTATGATGTTCTTGATGTCATCCCAGAAGTCTTCTGGTCTTCAGTCTTTAGTGTTTAATGTATCAAATCTGTTCTTCAGATGACCTCTAAATTCAGGTGGGATATATTCAAGGTCATATTTTGGCTCTCGTGGACTTGTTCTCATTTTCTTCAGCTTCAGTTTGAATTTGCATATGAGTAATTGATGGTCTGTTCCACAGTCTGCCCCTGGTCTTGATTTCACTGATGATATGGAGGTTTTCCATCGTCTCTTTCCACAGATGTAGTCAATTTGATATCTATGTATTTCATCTGGCAAGGTTCATGTGTACAATCATCTCAATGTGTCTAAAGAAGGTATTTGAAATGAACAAATCATTGATTTTGCAGAATTTTATCATGCGTTCTCCAGCATCATTTCTATCACCAAGGCCATATTTTCCAACTACTGATCCTTCCTCTTTACTCCCAACCTTTGCATTCCAATCACCAGTAATGATCAATGCATCTTGATTGTATGTTTGATCAATTTCAGATTGAAGAAGTTGGTCGAATTCTTCTATTTCATCCTCATTGCCTTTAGTGGTTGGTGAGTAAATTTGAATAATAGTGGTATTAATTGGGCTTCCCTGTAGGTACATGGAGATTATCCTTTCACAGACAGCATTGTATCTCATGACTGATCTGGCTATGTTCTTTTTGACGATGAATGCAACACCATTCCTCTTCAATTTGTCATTCGCAGCATAGTAAACCATGTGGTTGTCAGATTCAAAATGGTCAATACCAGCCATTTCAGCTCACTAATGCCTAAGATATTGATGTTTATGTGTTCCATTTCATTTTTGACAACTTCCAATTTTCCTAGATTCATACTTCATACATTACCTATTCCGATTTTCAGTGGATATTTACAGCTGTTTCTCTTCATTTTGAGTTGTGCCCCATCAGCAAACGAAGGTCCCACGGGCTTTTCTCCAACGAGCTTTACTCACGTAATCACAGTCAATTCTACTTTGAGGAGGCAGCTCTTCCCCAGTCACATTTTGAGTGCCTTCCAACTTGAGGGGCTCATATTCCAGCACTATATCTGACAGTGTTTCTCTGCTACTCATAAGGTTTCAGTGACTAAATATTCAGAAGTAGTTCGTCACTCTTTCTTCCTAGTCTGTTCTTGTCTAGAAGCTCATCTGAAACCTGTC